ACATATCAAAGGAGTCAAGTGAATATAAGTGATTTTATATTTGTACAAGTTAGAGATAATATTATATTATTATGTTATTGATGATTGCACAACGAAAGTGTGCTTAAGCACTATGAAATAGAGAATTACCTATATAAAATGATTGAATTTAAAAGTTGATGACTTTTTCTAGACATTGTTACACATAGTCATTTTATATAGTTTGAGATGAATAAATGAAACATCCTATACATGAATTGCACTTTAAAAGAGTTGATGTTTGCGTTACTCAAGCCGACATTCTCGCTTCCACTTCATCCACCACTGCTCTCGAAGGGGCTTCCTTCTATGAACTCTAAACTCGAGCCTAAACCCAAGATTTATAGGTGTTGCAATACTACTCATAGAATACATTTCAATAAAAGAGTTGTGGAGGTAGCTTATTCTACAAGTTTTATACTTTATACCTTATAAATCGTAGATTTTCATATGAAGGTGGAAAGATAGAAAGCCCTTGTACTAATTTTAGAAGTATGAGGATGATTAATAAAGATAAAGCGTCCTAAACAAAAAGTGTAAAGAAGGGAACAATCGTTTATTTCATGGCCATTAGAATATTGAAGAATATTCATAAGTTGAATTGCATTATAGTTGATAATGATCGACAATGTAAATAGAATACCTGTTCTAAATCCACTAGTAAAATTGTTTCACTATGATTAGTGCAGTGATGTGTTAGAAATCCTCCTACCAAATTGTAATTTGGAAGATGCAGTAGTTTTAGATAAAGTTAGATAGATGCATATGTCTTCATATATTTATGGGAGGATTCCTTGCTTAGTGACTATTTGTATCTATTAAATTAATTAAATGTGATAGCTAGCTATATTTAGTAAGATACAATGACTGTCATAACTGTAAGTCTAGACATATACATCATAGAAATAATACTATAAAGAAGTTGAACTCAAACGGTGTAAACACATGGATCCACTAAGAAAAAATTATTGAGATAGCAAGTATATTGTATATCGAGGGGAATGTACTTTAAAGTCAACTATGTAAGAATTTTTGTAATAGTAACCTAATTTTGATGATTGGAGATCCCAAGATCTTGGTATAATGGTACAACTAAGTTATGAGATTCAATAATAACTTGAAGTTAACTCATACTAAGAAAGGTGATATCTACACAACTCTTTAGGTTACATTACACTTTTAATATTTCCATAGCTTGGACAAACACAAGTCAAGTATGATAGATAATCTTAATAGGACATCACCTATATAAGTTAGAAGTGGGGCCGCTTTTTGAGAATATTTCAAAGCTTTAATTCTCTAAAGCACTTGTAAAATCCAAGAATTGTTCATGGAAAAAATGAACACACCCGTGAGAACTGAAAACTGTTAGGTAGATTATTTTGTAAGTACTATCGTCTTAGTTTACATCAACAATTAACAAATCAAGACATCTTGTTCATTGATTAGGCAATTAAATATGATAGTATTCCACTATAGAAGGTTCAGACCCATACGGTACCTATCAAAATGCTATAGATTTTCGCTTAGTGTTTGCATTTTCATTTGCATTAATTTTCATTCATATTGGGGATTGTTGAAATTTTGTATAGAAAAATGATTTTGATCAGTTTTTAAATTATTATTGAAGTGGTAATCATTATTTGGTGAATGAGAAATTAAGCTAAATTTAAGTCACTTAAATATGTGAAACAGTTGGAAAATTATGTCAAATGTCATGGAATATTTTAGAAATTATTAGGATGAAAATTTATATCCTTTTAGAAATGATATTTTTCAAAAGTCATATGTTTTTTATTCTAGAGACATGTCTTTTTTGGACACTTATTTTTCAATGAGGCGTGTCCTTTTAGGCACGTCTTTTTCATTAGGTTGTATTTTTTAGACATAAATTTTCAATAACTATATAGACCACAAGTGTTCGAATTCTCATTCATCATTTTCATCATTGTATTATCACATTAATTATATTTACTTCAAAATAATTCTGCATTTATTTGAAATCGAGTTTCATATAAAGAGAATTCAAAACATAATTTGTTGGTATACGTAGTTTGGAGTGCTCCTATTACGATACGTGGTTTGTTGTATCTTGGAAAACGAATGTCGAAAAATCGTTAGCACCCGTAAGAGATATTATCGCCTTAAGGAGAACTCTTGCCTCGATCAAATTCATATTCGTGCATTTTACGTTTCTTCTTTACATATTCGATTTTAGTAAGTTGAAATTCTATCCGACTTTATGTATGTAAAAGGTTAGTTATCAAAATATATTTTATGCACGTAAAATGTTAGTTATTTGAATATAATTTATACATGTCAATTTTTACCAACAGTGCATAACTCCCAAACTCACATACTTTCTATAGTCCTTTTAACTGATATGAGCATTGTGCATCAAAACTTGTATGATCATGACCTCTCCCACCTTAGTTTTTTTATTGAACGAGCCTAGTTATTTTGCCTATAATGCATGTGTTCCAAGTGCATAGATAACATACACAGGGAGGAGAGTAGAGGTTGATCTGTCGACGTGCTGGATCCTAATCAGATTTGCAGGTCAACAATGTTATAAAAGAAATCTTAATTCTTTATTATATATATCGTGATTTATTTGTTATGAAAAAATTATTTGACAACACGTGCACAATAAAAATTTTCAAAATATCGAATGTTCCAAGTTTTGGAAACAATTTTCATAGGTTTGATTTTTATGGAAATTAAATGCTCTACTATTTTCCAAATAGAAAGATGCTTAAAAGTTATAAGCACACTAAAGTTATTCTCTAATGTTCTTGCTCACTTAACTACATAGGTGCCCTTGTTTGAGCCCCATTTTGGAGAGAAAAAATAATTCCCTGATGGTGTTTTTTAGAGAATGTATGGTTAAAAAAATAAGAAAAAACTTCGATTTACATGCAAAATTATTTTATTAGAGAATGTATTGCTGAAAATGAGTTTTGAAAAAATAAATTTTTGATAAAATTGAGCTCAAACAACGTATAAATTTATTTTGCAAAATTCGACTTTTTTATACTTTAGGGTTTTAGACTTCCTTACTAGTGTATTAATATATGCCCTTATCTAGTGTGAATTAAAATATTAATAAAAATGTAAATTAAAGTCAGCAATTAATTTTAACCACATATATTATGAGATCCACAACTTTTCAACTGCACATTTCATCAATTTTTATCAAAATCTACTAAAAATCTGATTTTTAGCTACACCAAGAAAGGACTATATATACTTGAACTTCACATGCACAGGTACTCATCTTTGACAGAACCACACAGATTTGCACAAATTTTCTCATAGTGCATCAAAAACATAGCGAGGGATGTTTATTCGTTCCTCAAATTCTCCGTAAGAAATAATCTTTCTTGAGGAGTTTTATTGTAGTCTTTATTCATCTAAGTTTTTCTTGGACGTTAAGGCTTAAGGATGGAATTGTTCTTGGTCTAGAACAGCTTTTGTACTTGCAAAAAAATCAAGAGTCTTCTTGATTTTTATGATATACCATTTTTGGTGATTAAGTTGGGTGTTAATTTTGACAAGGGTGAGGGTCAAGGATTATAAGCATTTGCATGACAAAATTTGCAAGAAAGACATATTGGTGATAAGCAAAGACATAGTCTTACTCCAGTTTGTGATTGTGGATCGAAGTTTCTATAGGAATGGTATAAAAATAAATACTGGAGGTCTCAATTATATCTGAGCTCCGGTAGGGATAAAAACAGGGAATTTGTAACTTGTAATTTGTATTTTGAGGCTAGAAATTTTGTGAACACAAAGCATTCATTGTCGTGCGTTGGTTTCTAGTAGAGTTTTTGCAGGTCTGGTTTCATCGGTGGGTGTTTTGTGTTCATTATTAATATTACATTCTGTTATTGCATGTATTATTCCGCGAAAGAATGTTTAAAATTAAATGTGTTGATATAACTAAACATTGCTTACAATGTTTGATATTTAAAGTTTTGTGTGCAACTAAGTTGAACAATTTCATTTGCTTATACAGTCTGGTAACTAGTCTTATATGTAATACGTTAAACAAGTTCTGAACTAACATTTTCTTAGAGTTTAAAAGTTAAGAGGAACAATGACTTTGGTGGTCTTTACACTAGCTGAAAAAGATTGATATTTTTAAGGTTGTTATACACTATCTTGCTCACAGGATAACCACTCTAGGTGACAAACATCCCACAAAATGAGTAATAGATTTCATATTACACATATATGTTACTGAATTATGTCTTCTTAATTTCTAGATCTGGTATTATTCATATGAATTAGATATAACTTACTGGTACCTTAAAAATATGAACTAGCAATCAAAGTTCATTCACTCAGGACTAAGGTCACTCTTTCTGTGCAAGTGATATCTTATTTTACATGGTCATAATTAAGATTTCAGGTGGTCCCAGTTCAACGCGTTCTAGATAAAGTCAAGTTCAAAAAATGCAATTTTTTAAAATAAGGCGTCCAACTTTATTTACTAATCACAAGAAGATGGTCCACTCGACTGTGTTGATATCATATTGACCATTGAATTATTGATTATTGATATTTAAATTGCACCGAACTCTATCCGGTGCATAGTAAGTGGGTCAAGGGCCCAATAAAATGAAAAGATTTCAAATGAAATTATTTCTAGTTAATTTTGATGAATATTTGAATATGACGCATTTTATCATCATGTTTTAAAGAAATGACATGGCAGCATATACTTGTTACACCCCACCCATTTTTAGTCAAAGACAAGGGAAGTAATTGGTCAAAGTCAAAGTCAATAAGGACTTAAGTTAAACAAATAATTTTTTGGGGCTTAATTTGTAATTACAAGAACTTGAGGGATTTAGTTTCTATTTACTGGAATTAAAGGAGTAAATGGTATATTACATGAAGAGTGAGGACTTGATTTGCAATTCTACCACACTTATCCATTAAAACTTTAAACATATCCATTACTCTCTCATTGCTGGGGGAGAAACCGACTGGGAGAAGCAGAGAAAAAAATAAGACAAAAATGAACGAGAAAAAGGAAAGACTGAAGGAGAAGAAGAAGAAATGTGTGTTGGCTTTTGAAGATTGAGGTTTTATTCCTTAATTCTTCTTATTTTCAAGAGCTAATTGAAGTTTATGTTACTTGAATATTTTGGGGTTAATGGAAAATTTACTTTACTTCGAAGTTTAGCAATAATTGGTTGTTATTTATATGTATTTGAGGTTATAAATAGGAATATAGCAAAGAATGTTATTTGAGTATTGAAGTTGAAAAAAGTTGAATATTGAAATGGGTTTGAAAGATAGAAACATATTATTTGAATTTGCTTGTGATTATATGATGTTAAACACTTAAATTAAGGAATTAGGGTTGATTTCTCCATTTTTAAGTAATAATTATAAGCAATTTTTGGACAAATCTTACATAGGTGCTATATTTGTAATTCTGCCCAGAGTAGTGCTAATTCTGTCAAAGGTTTTATTGCCAGATTTCATTATTATGAGATTTTAGAGATGTTTTTGTCAAAGCTCTTATTTTCAGATTTTTAAAGATTTGAATGAAGTTATATGACAAGTGTTGAATTTTATATATTGGAATAAATGATGTATATGGGTTGTATATGTATAAGGTATTGATTTTAAGGAAGTGCAAGTGATTTAATGGATTTGATAATGCATGTTGCTTAGTTGATGAATCAATAAAAAGAATAAAAGTTGGAGAATTGGAGGAGAGTAAATATAGAAGTTGAGGAGTTAAGTGGTGGAATTGTATTAGTTTAATTGTCAAGTTTTAATTTGAGTTATTATACCGTTATTTCAGGTGGTGACGTGAAAGCTTAGAATGACTCGTCAATTTAGCCAGATTTCTATCTATGGATCTGTGAGTGAAAAAATATAAATATTTTTAAAATATTTATGAATTAAGTATATTATCAAAGTATGTGCAATTATGTGTTCGAATTATATGGTTATTATGGAAATATCTTTTATTATAATACATGTGGGATTTCAAAGATTGTATACGGTATATTGTGAATTGGAATATAAGATGTGATTTTGAAATCGACCAAAAAAATACCCGTGATTATATATTTCTTCTAGTTCATTGAGGGGTCTTGGCTGTGTTCTATACTACACTAAGGGGCCGACTGGGGATGAAGGGATCGTGACCGTGTACATATAGTTCACTGAAGGGCATTGGCCGTATTCTAAAATTGATTATCAGAGGTCATGAGATCCGCTTTCGTTCATGGAGGGGGCCAAAGGCTCGTGGCAATAGTACTTAGCCCGAGAGACGGATTACAGATTTTACTTAGAGGGTACATTTTGGTAGATCACATGTGATGTGATGAAATGATGGTATAAATATCAATTGATGATTATATCATGATTATGAGATGATATTTACAGTATTATGAGAATGTCTCATTTTTTATCTATAATTGTATGAAGCTATCATATGAATTACTAAACGATATGAACTTGATGTCTATGTATGAGAAAAATGTTTAAAGGAGAAAATATGATTATTTTTGAACTCTTCTACTTACTGAGCTATCAACTAATGTTTTGCTAAAATTATTTTTACAGATAGTATTGGTCCTTGATAGCTTGAGGAGCCTGGTGATTTCAGAGTTAGAGTCACACGACATGTTGAAGGATATGAGTCAATTTGATTAAACCAAGAAGTAAAGTTTTGAGCCCTTTGCACTATGTTTTTATAAACATTTGATTTTATTACATATCTTGTAGTAACTCATAGTGTGCCTTGGTGATGGAGTTGACATTTAGTCAGCCTCTATCATTGATGCACGCCAAATTTCGGGTCCACTAGGGTAATTTGGGACGGGTCGTGTCAGAGTGGTATCAAAGCATTGTTTATAAAGTTTTGAAAGTCTTCATAGTTTAAACATTAGCATATCATTCATTATTCAGTGTGTATGGTCACATGTCGTGGTAGCAGAAATCATAGGTTCTCAAGCTCGAATTTATGGAACTGAAAATGATTGAAAAGCATTTTTATCAAATCCAAAAATGACTAGTATGTAAGTATGATATTTGCAATGGTCTGATGGTTGGAAATGTTATTAGTTGTTGGGTTGGAATTATGGTCTATGTAACATATTAAGAGTTGAATAGATCATGATATATAGGAAAATTTTTAGTTATAGCTTGCACAATAAATACGGGGAATTGATATAATGTGTATACTTGTGATAATTTGTAAAGGATTTTAATTATTTTGGAGAGCTAAATGACCTTTAGCGCTATCGAAAATCGTGATGAATTGTGGCTACTTGGTTGAGATGAGAATAGAAAGCATGTTGGTGTGTACTTATTCTATATGATAAGAATTTTGTGGAGGACAAAATGATAATATTATGTAGATTGTTGATTAATAAAATACTATACTTTATTATGAATATTACGCATTGAGAAGATTAACATACATCTGTACTTCAAGAAAAATATAGGGTGGGATTATGATTGCCTTGACCAATTAAACGATGTGTTACAAAATGAGAACGATTAGTGATAAATGAGGTTGGAGAAGAAAAATAAATAAATAAATAAATAAAATATAGGGAAGGATTAAGAGTTCAATTCAAGGAAATATAATTTGATAGGGATATATATTTGGGGACATGTGTGGTCGGAAGTTAACGAGAATAGAAAGATAAGAGTAGGAATTAGTGTTAAATCACTGTGTATAGGTTATATGCAATAGTAGCTTGGGTTCTGTATAAGTATGTGTATTTATCGAAAGAATGAGAAAGGAAAGAAAACAATAAAGAGAGATGCATAGATATCCATTAAGGTTGTTAATTGGGCCTGCAATGTTATCGATATTCGATCATTAAATATGGGTACAATGATTTTCAATTAGTAAGGGCCAACAAGATAAGTACAATGAATCATGTTGTTCAACTTGGGAGATGAGACATGATTAAATTTTGTGGCCATATGATACGATGATGTTCACTTAATAAGGTTATTTTATTATGAGAGTCATTGTCAATAATGATAAACAAAAGATATGACAGTTTGATGTAAATAGAATAACGTAATAGTATAAGTTAAAATGTGAATTGATTTTCCTCTAGCCATCATTGGGTTTGTTGTGTTGGTTTATAATTTATCGAGGACGACATGTTAAATTGGAGTTAGTAAGGACATATTATCACGTTGTACTATAAGGAAGATGGGATGTTAGTTATGGTAAACAAGTTAGGTGGTAGAGATGATGCACAATAAAAAATTTAAAAAAAAAGAAATAAAAGAAAAGAAAAGAAAAGGAAATAGAGAGAGTCTAGGTGTTGTGTTTTTCTTTCTTTATTTAAGAAATGGGCAAGCTCAAGTTTCTTAACTTAGTACGGGTAAGCATATTTGGAGACGTGCAAAACTTCGAATTATCTCTACAGACAGATTTAGGACATGAAGGAATTAAATTGACAATGAAACTTTGAAGCACGGAAAGAAACGAATGAGAAATGGAAGACGGCAGTAATAAGTCGTGTTGTATATGGGCCTAATTGAAAAGTGAAATGAAAAATTAGAAGAGGAGAAGAAGATAAGTGGAATATGTATATGGGTATTGCAGGGAGTGAATATTTATAGAGGGAAAGAAATGAAAAATGTAAAATGAAAAGATGAGAATATCATATATTGATTCTTACGAAAGTTATTGAAAATATGATAAGGAAAGGATGAACCTTGGGCCTAGTTAAAGGTTGTTGGGGAAATCATTTAATATTTTTTCTTTATTTTCTAATATGTACGAATTCTAGTGGAGTGAGTTTCGAGGACGAAATTCTTTGAAGGTGGTGAGATTGTTACACCCCACCCATTTTTAGTCAAAGTCAAGGGAAGTAATTGGTCAAAGTCAAAGTCAATAAGGACTTAAGTTAAACAAATGATTCTTTTGGGGCTTAATTTGTAATTACAAGAAGTTTAGGGATTTAGTTTCTATTTACTGGAATCAAAGGAGTAAATGGTATATTATATGAAGAGTGAGGACTTGATTTGCAATTCTACCATACTTATCCATTTAAACTTCAAACATATATATTATTCTCTCATTGCTAGGGAAAACAGACTGGAGAAGCAGAGAACAAAATATGAAAAAAAAATGAACGAGAAAAAGGAAGAAGAAGAAATGGGTGTTGGCTTTTAAATATTGAGGTTTTATTTCTTAGTTCTTATTTTCAAGAGGTAATTGAAGTTTATGTTACTTGAATATTTTGGGGTTTATGGAAAATTTACTTTAATTCGAAGTTTAGCAATAATTAGTTGTTATTGATATACATTTGAGGTTATAAATAGGAATATAGCAAAGAAATGTTAATTGAGTGTTGAAGTTGAAGAAAGTTGAATTTTGAAATGGGTTTGTAAGATAGAAATATATTATTTGAATTTTTTTGTGATTATATGATGTTAAACACTTAAATTAAGGAATTAGGGTTGGTTTCTCCATTTTTAAGTAATAGTTATAAGCAATTTTTGGACAAATCCTACACAGGTGATGTTTTTGTAATTCTGCCAAGAATAGTGCTAATTCTATCAAAGGTTTTACTGCCAAATTTCAATAAAGGAATTGGTGCCAGATTTCATTATTAGGGGATTTTAGTGTTGTTTATGTCAAAACTCTTATTTTCAGATTTGTAAAGGTTTGAATGAAGTTACATGCCAAGTGTTGAATTTTATATATTGGAATAAATGATGTATATGGCTTGTATATGTATAAGGTATTGATTTTAAGGAAGTGCAAGTGATTTAATGGATTTGATAATGCATGGCGTTTAGTTGATGAATCAATAAAGAGAATGAAAATTGGAGAATTGGAGATGTAAGAGTGTATATAGAAGTTGAGGAGTTAAGTGGTGGAATTGTATTAATTTAATTGTCAAGTTTTAATTTGAGTAATTATACCATTATTTCAGGTGCTGACGTGAAAGATTGGAATGGCTCGTCAATTTAGCCAGATTTCTATCCGTGGATCTGTCTGTGGAAAAATATAAATATTTTTAAAGTAGTTATGAATTAAGTATAATATCAAAATATGTGCAATTATGTGTTCGAATTATATGGTTATTATGGAAATATCTTTTATTATAATACATGTGGGATTTCAAAGATTTTATACAGGATATATTGTGAATTGGAATATGAGATGTGATTTTGAGATCAATCAGAAAAGTACCCGTGATTATATATTTCCTCTAGTTCACTGAGGGGCCTTGGTCGTGTTCTATACTACACTGAGGGGTCGACTGAGGATGAAGGGGTCGTGATCGTGTACATATAGTTCACTGAGGGGCATTGGCCGTGTTCTAAAATTGATTACCAGAGGTCATGAGACCCGCTTTCGTTCACGGAGGGGGTCATAGGCCCATGGCGAAAGTGCTTAACCCGAGAGACAAATTACAGATTTTAGTCAGAGAGTACATTTTTGTGGATCACATGTGATGTGATGATGGTATAAATATCAGTTGATGACTACATCATGATTATGAGATGATCTTTACAGTGTTATGACAATGTCTTACTTTTTGTCTATAATTGTATGAGGTTATCATGTGAATTACTAATCGATATGAACTTGATGTCTACGTATGAAAAAAATGTTTAAAGGAGAAAGTATGATTATTTTTGAACTCTTACACTCATTGAGCTATCAACTCATATTTTGCTAAAATTATTTTTACATGTAGTATTGGTCCTTGATAGCTTGAGGACCTGGTGATTTCAAAGTTAGAGCCACACGATATGTTGAAGAATATGAGTCAATTTGATTAAACCATGAAGTAAAGTTTTGGGCCCATTTATAAACATTTGATTTTATTGCATATCTTGTAGTAACTCATAGTGAGCCTTCGTGATGGAGTTGACATCTAGTCAACATCTATTATCGACGCACACCACGTTTTGGGTCCACTAGGGTGATTCGAGATGAATCGTGTCAATATTCATATTACTTATACTCATAGCATGCATGATTTTTATTTATTGGACGTTGACTTATGTAGTTATTGCGTGGTAGGTAAGAATGGAACTTCATGGAAAGTATGGCTAGCTGTGAAGCTCTTGCTGGATTTCGAAGTTTGATGTACATGGATGACGACTTCTAGGGTTATCTTGTGGGCTATTGTTTTAGTCTTATAATCTACTGTATTATATTTAGAGAATTTTGTACTATATATATGACTTTTGAAATGGCATGATAGATACTTTTGGAACCCTCAAAATAAATATGTTGGAATTTAGTTATACAGTATTTGGTCATAACATACCATATGTACATCGTAGGTGACTAGGCGAGAGACCTTATTGTGAAGATGCTTATTTCATTTTATCTGGTAAAAAAAATATGTAATCCTTTGTCTAGGTGAAGTATCAATTTCATTTCTACACAGGTTAGTATATGGTTATCTATATAAAGAGGGGTGTGACAACCAAACACATTGAAAATTCAACATATAATCATACAACAGAATTAAACAATCACACACATGCAGAAATGATTAAACACAAATACACATGCAGTAACTAAGTTTACTCTCGATAAACCTCACAAGGGTCATCACTCGACTCTATAACCAAATTCGCCTCACCTCTCATTTTATCTTTCTTCTTAGGACAATTCTTAATAAAGTGTCTAGATTTACCACAACTGTAACACCGTCTACCACTAGACTCGTCCCTTGCCCTTCTTCTTACCACCCACATCACTCGAGTCAATACTTAAATCACTACTGTTTTAAGATCTATCCAAATTCATTTGTTTAAAATTCATTCTACTCCTTATCATATGTAACTCTCCACTCTTCTTATCTTCTTTTTTAGCCTTAATCTCTATTTCCTTACTCGTAAGAAAATCTATGACAATCTCGGGTGTTAAAGTGTCCATACTATACTTAATTGCATTCTTAATCTCTCTATATAAATCATGCATTGAATTAAGCAAATGACGGCCTTACACATTTCAGATACATTTCCAACACAATTAACAATATTTTGAACAAATTTGTTAAAAACATCCTAATTATCATCAAGATGCTTTGAAAGATCCATTTTAAAATTGAAAAATCATTCAAGCAAGTACAACTTATTAGGAGTAGATTTAAGCAAATATAAGTCCTCCAACTTTTGCTAAAGTTCTTTTATATAATCAAGCTTCCCACTTTTCTCAAAACAGTATCAGATAAGTGTAAAAAATAATTAAAGTGCAAGCAAGTTAATCACAAGTTAATCATATTCCTTCTTTTGTGCTTCTGTCAAATTTGAATAAAATTTGTTATCTATGGTTTTTGAAACTTTTTGTTGAAACAAAATTCCATTCATCTTTTGTTGTCAAATTGAAAATTCTTCTTTTCCCATTGAAAATTCCAACTTCAAAATATGAATGCATTTTGAAAAAACAGAACAGCCAAATGCACAAATAGGTCACACTAAGTAATCCTAAGTTCGCAGTATACACTATTCTAAATTCTCCGGGTTTCATAAGATTCATGATCTTAGATCAAGGAAACGTTCAAACATGTTAAGTCTAGATGTTCTAACAAGATAATTAATGCAATAATAATAAAAAAATTCAAATTCTCGTGTAAATAGTCTCACACAGTAACTAAAACAATAACTAAAGCTCAAAAACAATTACCAACTTGCAACTAAATTCAACAATTCAAACAGAGCAAATAATTCCTAAATTTCTAGCACAAGAAATAGTTACTCTTCATGATAACCCTAATCCTAAATGTCACCTCGTACGGTGACGCTCTAATGCTAAAATTAAATTGAGATAAGCCCATATACCAGAGCGGACCAATCTGAGTCCTTAAATTACGAGAAATGAGAATTTATCACTGTAGTATCACCACTATTTGTCCTAAAGTCTCCTGCAGCTGTAGGAATCAATCGACCACCCGAATAGGCGAAGAACAGAAGCATCCAAACTTTGCTTTATAGCCTAAAAAAAAATTAACAACACCAAAATATCAGAAATATTGTAAGGAACAAATTATCAAAAGAAACCTTCGCCAGACGACACTTCATGTGCTCTCACGAATCCTACTCTCTTTGCACGTGGGCCTCACGCATCATTGTTGCCGATCACGTGCCTGACCGTCGAGATCGCCTCCGCTTACATGTCACACCAGTGATCTCCATTTCATCAAAAGCCTTTTAGATTGGCCGAAAATCGTGAAAACAGAGGCTTTTTTAGGTAATTTTCGGATAATTTTTCGATCTATTTTTTTTCCTTTTCTGTCGATTTTCAGGATGATTTTTAGTCAATTTTTCAAGCCAAATCCACCATCTTGAAGCTCTGATACAAATTATCATGGAAGCTTACTCCATAGATTGTCAAATCAATATTTTTCGAGTTCAGTTTAACATTACCCATCTCTATCAAACAACGAATCCAACCGGCTCTAATCCACAACCAATATATTCATCTTGGTTGGTTTTTAATCTCACCCATAAAGTATAAGATTATGGTGTTGATTTATAGGCACAAAGGTAAGAAGAAAAATCGATTAAAGTGGTACAAGAGAAGACCAAAACAATGGAGGAGGAAGCCACCGGTTTTGGAAGCAATGGAGGCAGTCGTTTTTCACAGTAGCAAATGGTTTCTTCTTTTACAAAAATCACACACTAAAGTGGCTAAGGTAAAACACATATAAGTAGGGTTAGGTTAGGCTTTTAATTGGATCAATAACAAAGCTAAATGGGCTAAAATTTAAAGTCATCCAAAAGGTAATATAACTATATTGGATAGAGCCTTTGGACTTAGTTGTTGATAATTATTTCACTCTTTGGCCAAGGCCTATGAAATATATTTCCACATTAACATCATAACCCATAATCTATTGAGTATCAAAACTCAATAAGTACTTTGTATTATGCACAAACATATATTAGAAGGTATGAAATTTATAGTAGACCATGTTATTGCTCTTGTACCTGTTGAATTGGAAGATTTAGGATAGACATAATGCCTAAGAACCCTGTTATGCGAAAATATCTTTCGATCTAAAACCATTGCAAGTATACGGTTCGTTAACAAGTAATAAAATGGATTTTGAGTCCAAGTATCGTACAGTGGAGATTGATTTAATTCGATTTTAATTATCGCGGTCTTAATCAAAACAAGAATGTTAAGATGTGGTTGTTGTGATGAAATTATAGCTAAAGTAAGTTATGTATACAATTATGAATGAATTAACTAAATTAAATGCAAAGTATGCTGAATGAAAGTTGATGTGTTTTAATGAATGACAAACGCATTAAGATTCCAAATTCCCATACAATAATAGCTTTTAACCTTAGCTTTACATTTTGACAATACGATTGAATTTTGAAGAATCAATATTCTTATTTTATTCAACAATCTCTCTCGAGCAATGTTAAACATTCTCTCATATATGACCATACTATATTTCTGTAATGGATGCGAATATACAAGAATACATGAATTTTTGTAAACACTTTTCACATAAAGTATAGTGTTATATTTTCTATCCCCTATAAGAACATATAACGATTTATATGATGTCGAGCCTTATTTCCTTATTTCAAACACATAAAATAAGTCACCACATTGACACAACTACCATGCACAATAATTGTGAAGAAGATAAAATCATATAAATCGTTCAATATCCAAAAACATATTTTTCATGTCAAATATGTAAAACTAAAGATTAAAAATTCATATTACATTGTTCATTGTTCTCCTAGCATAAATAAATCTAGCCTAGCATATTAGGAAAAAAAAAAAAAAAAAAAAGAAGAAGAAGAAGAAGAAGAAGAAATGACATCACCCAAAAAAGTCTTCAATTGAATCTTTAGAGTTTTGGAATAGTTTTCCGTGTTTTTTGACTCCTTCTATGCTCCAAAACCTCCACGAATGTGATATAATGCTTCATGAACACTAAGGGACAACCCTCAGTCTTTAAAAAACGTCTCAAGATTTGTTTTTATTATAATTTGAATCAAATAAGGAAACTAGCATAGTTCAATAGAGTTGGGCCTTGAAACTTGCAAAAATCACCATGCGACCGCATGGAAAAGCCTACTATGTGACTGCATAGTGTTGATAAGATTCCAAAAGTTGCATTTTAGTCCCCGAACTCTGTTTCCTTGTTTCTTAACCTCTTTTCTCATTTCTTCTTCTCCAATAATTCATGTCTTCACAAAATTGGTTCTTCACTCTTTCACATCTTCATTTCTACTTCCAGGTCATCTTCTATTTGCACTTTATCCCTAAACTTTGGTTTTCTTCCATTTTGGTCCATTTTCTCTTGTTTCTCCTAAACTCCACCATATTCATCATTATTGTCCTACAAAAAATAATTTATGGGGATATTTGGTATTGATTTTTCACCCCAAGAAAATCAAATTTTGACCATTATTTCACTATTCAAATTGTCATTTTTTACCATTTCTCTCACAAGTAGGATCTACTTTTCTCTCCAACGGTTAAAAAATCAATTCTCAAAATCACTACCACACAAACAAAGTTAAATATCATTCCATTAGAGAAGCAGAAAAGAATCAAGAGATTACATTGCTGAATTGCAAGTCTGAGATGCAGATTGTAGATATCCTTACTAAGTCACTATCCAAGAGTATGTTCGAGGAATTAAGATGCAAGCTGGTAGTTTCAAGGAAAAGTCTCAATGAGGAGTGTTGAATTATTGAGGTTTTAGGTAGCTGATTTTATGGAATAATTGATTGAGTTTATCTTTTCTTTAATTTATTTTGAAATTATTTTGTTTACTGAGTCAGTGGTAGTTGGTTCCTTAAATCCAGAAATATCAGTAGCAAATAAAACTATTAATTATTAAGCTTTTTATGTAGAAATATCTGTAAACATGATCTTTTCTTCTTGTATTTAATCAGCTCGTATCAATGAAATAAATTATCTTCCACAACAAACTTCATTCATTGTTCATTACAACAATTTTTTCTGGCATTTCTTTCTGCTATTTTTGTTTCTACGGTAACGTTTGGATACCATACTACGGTTTTATCCGGTATTTTATTATACCATATAGCAAGTTGAAACATATCATTGTTTTGAAGTTCCTGAAATCCAAACGCGAAATCTCCATGACGTGAAAGCCATGGAGTGGACCCCTCTGTTGCAAACAGAAAGTTACCCACAGTTATGTTACCATTGTTTTGAGAAAAGGTGCAGAATGGGAGGAGAAATATTATCGAGAAGATGAAAATGAAGATGAAGTTAAAGAGAGCATAAGCCATTGTTATTTTGTTAAAGCAAATTTGGCACATAAAATTATCAAAAAGAATTTCCATGCATAGAGGATGGGGGATGATTGTAAAACTTTCGAGCCAACTCATACTTTCTCGGTATGCTTTAAATTTTGTCCTTGTGTGAAAAACTTTTTCAAGACTTGTATATTTACGATGATAATTACGAGATACATCTTAAATTATTAATAAAAAAAAAATTATTTGACCACATCACCCATCAAAGATCAATGCACCGATGGCAGTACAGGCCCCGCCTTGTCTTCACTGAATCTATTTACAAATAAAAAAAAAAAAAGAAAAAAAAGAGAGAACATTTTCTCTCCTCTCTCCAGTTATTTCATTTCGAGTAAGGCCCAATTCTTGATTGGGAGGAACTCCAAAGACCTTTGTTCTTCCATTCCTTGCACTGAGAGGATGGTTTATTAAAGATAATATGGTGATTTTGTTTATTAAGGTAGAGCAATTGAGATGGCTAATGTTGTCAGATTCAATTTTTCTTTTTTGATAGAGGGAGGAAACAAAATCATATTCTTGGTCAAAATAGAAAGAGGAGGAGTTGTGAAAATGAGAGATTTTCCTGGTAGATGGTTTGAAGACTGTGTCATTAATGTAAGAGTAGCAACTAATATCACGCTGAATTTTGTGGAATTTTGAAATATCAATGTCATCATTGATGATGAAAGCTAAACAGGAAGATGTGGACAATTGAATTTACAAAAACAGGTGGATCAATGAACAACACCACAATATTTCATATACAGAGCATGTTTGAGCCTTTTTGTGTAAAATGTATTTTGAAATAATAGATTTATGAAGAATGTGTGATTAAAAAATAAGAAAAAATTTTGAATTTACTGATAATATTATTGTATTAAAAAAATGTGTGATTGAAGAGAGAGAGAGAGAGAGAGAAATATATTTGGAATAAAATAGGGCCACAGTTGGACAAATATAAACATATAAATATATTCAAGACCAAACGGAATGGGAGACACAACACGGCATGACTTATAATATCCAAAGTGTGTGATATTCACTTTCAATTTTTTTTCCATATGAAATGCCTATTTTTGTAATTAGGTATGCGTATAACTTTATTAACAATGACTTTCACCATTTGGATGCAACCTCATATTTCTCTATCGTTTTGTTG